TGCCTGCCTTATATTGTCATACCCTTTAGTTGTGCAAAAATAGATTTAAACTACTTATCGAATGGACAAGTTTATTAAAGAATCCTTACAAAGGCTCTCCAAAGTGAAATATCATCCTCACCTCTCCTCTGACTTGCAAAATGACAAGCATACTAATAAGCTCGATAATAAAGCTTCACTTGACATTTGTGAAGACAACAATCCATCAAAAGAAAATATAATTTTGATCGGAACAAAAGATACTACTTATTTGAGGATTATTTTTAAAACAACCACTTCAAATAAACAATATAAAAATTTCCGAAGGTGGGAAAAACAGTAAGGAGATCAAATAAAGGGAGAAAATGATGAATAGAGCAAAACAACAAAGATGATGACGATAATGACAACATCGACACATACACACACACACACACTCACACATGCTTATTTACATGTTACCAGATTTTATAGATTGTCAGTGTTCACTAATTGTAGGCAAATAAATCAGTGTCTGTGTGTTCAAGCAAAGAAACTCGACAACAACTTCACATCAAACTAAAGTGTACTAATACATGAAATCAGCCAGATAGGAGACTAGTTGAAAAAGCAGACGTGATATCAGGTCCTCCGTTGAACTGTGTTGGTTGACAAGTCATGCTGATGCTACAATGTGGAATATTGGTACGTAAATATTAATATGCGTCAAAAAGTGTTGAGCGAAGATGACATGACTAGTCAGCAATCAAACAAGTTCAAAATATGACCTTAGTGACCTGCTCCTTTCAATAAAACCTGTATTTAATGATTTTGTGAGTGACGTGACTCAGAATCGATCGATCATAATGGTATGGGTGTATACACACTCTGTCTACCCTTAAACTGTGAGATTGAAATCGCTTCATATCTTTCTATGTACCCACTAATCCTTTCTTTCTGTACTATATTCCTATATAAATCTTTCTCTTATTTATTACCACGATTGAATTAACTACTTCTATGAATCCTGTGTTGGTCTTGCTGTGCTAATGAGGTATGGCCACTTGAACCGATACATTTCATAACTGATGATAACGTTCAGAGAGGCGACGAAATCTTCATATGCAAATGATTTAGTTTACTAAAGAAAACTTCATCTAGAATATTTAATAAAACAAAAACTGATGAGATGATAATTTATAGATGACCCATTTGGATTTAAGGATAGAAAATGTTGAATTTTGACATGAAATTCATTCATTGATTTGGTTAAATACTGTTATATACTAGTGAATATTACATTACGAGTAGCGTCTGAGACTTATGTTTTGTGGTTTTTCAGCTGGTTGGTCATGCTTCAATTGTTCGTTAGAACAATAAAGATAAACTATCTAACGCATAATATTTGTAAGTATTTATATTATCTCGTTGGCATTTATGTTAAGCATCAAACTGATCAATCTCTTTTAAAGTATGTACATCTTCAGAGAACTTCTTATATAGTTCTATTTTGGTCACAGGATTGAAATAATGTTATATAATAGTTGGCAATGGGACTTAGAAAGTGCATTTTGTTCTATTCAGAACTCCTAGATTAGGTATTCCTGCATTGTATGTTAATGTTGACACTAAGACTGTCAACTCGTATCTTTCAAAAGGTACCTAACCTTTGTATACATCTGATCGTTTGTTTAGTTATCTGATTGTCACACACACAGAGACAAAACAGTATAACTTTAAAAAAAATAATTTATTTGTTACAAGTTAATACTACCCAGCGAGCTGTCCAAAAATGATATAATACTGAATAACTATTCGATTCTCGGACAGTATCATTCAAATCACAATCGAGCTTATAACATTTAGTTCACATGATAAGATATTTTTTGAACATTGAATTCACTGTCAATAGTACACATTTCCATATCTAATCCATTCTCATCACTTAGCAACTAAATTAACATGGTATAATTAAGTACTATTCATCATCTATCTAACTGTATAGACTTGGATAAAACAACAATAAATTATAAATGATTTGAATGTATTCATCACTTGTGTCCTGTGTGCCCTGTTCGTGTATAATGTAATAATATCACTGATTAGAGAACAGTGAATTATCGATCGGACCAATAACTCATTAAGCATTAAAAATTAGCGCCGTAACCTTGAAATCTTTTTTAAACGCGCCTGATTGGCTCATTCATAAATGAGATCATAAATGTTATAATCACAATGATTAATCATACTTAATTGAATCGTTTTCAATAAATCAATAAAATTTTGTTGAGATTGATTTTTTTGTTTTAAATTTAAAAATTTAAATTTTTTTTTAAAAAATAATCAATAATTAAAATGATATTTAAATTTTAAAATTTTTTTTATTGAATAATGATTGAATTTGTTTTATAGAATATTCTAGAATAAACCATTAATGGATTGAATAAAAATTCATTATAAATTGAACTTGTTCAATACGTTTACATTTAATCTTATTAAAATGATGTTAAAATTTGTTTAAATTCATTAATTAAATTAGATAAATTGTACGTTTTAATTCTGGTGGGAATTTTAAAATATAAATGTTCAAAGGTTTCCTGTTGACTACTTCCCAAGTTCTTTTTAAAGCTTTAACTTCTAATATTTTAATATCCATATTAATGGATTTAATGTCATTCTAATAAACTAATAAGAACGTAGAAACATTCTATAAACATAAAAGCAGGCAAATCAGTAACATTCTATCCTTTCACTCAATTTCTATTCTTCAGAATTAGTTATAAATAGTATTGCTTAATTACTTACTTACTTACTTACGCCTGTTACTCCTCGTGGAGGAGGATAGGCCACCCACATGCACTCTCCATCTAAACCTGTCTTGGAAAATCCTTCCCAGTTCTTTCCAGTTATTATTCATATCTGCTTCTATTTCCCGACATAATGTGTTATTTGACCTTCCTCTTTTCCGCTTCCCTTTAGAACTCCAAGGTAGCGCTTGCCTCGTGATGCAGTTTGGTGACTCCCTCAATGTATGTCCTATCCACATCCAATGTATTTCCATAATTTCTTCTTCATCTGCAAGCTGGTTTGTTCTCTCACACAATAGACTGTTGCTGATGGCATCCGGTCAATGGATGTTGAGTATCTTGCATAGACAACTATTTAGAAATACTTGTATGTTTTTGTTGATGGTTGTAGTAGTTCTCGAAGTTTGAGCTCCGTATAGTAGAAATGTGTTGACGTTCGTATTGAAGATTGTGACTTTTGTATTATTATTATTATTATTATTATTATTATTATTATTATTATTATTATTCACAAACATTTTATGGGTACATAAGTGTTGTGAAGAAACCATTTCGGGTTTCTTCAGATGATGCAATAATACACCATTTTCAATAATGTCAGCGTTATACTTGGCATATTTAAGAAAAAAAATTTAGAATAATAATAGTAGAATATTATTAATAATAAATTGGGTCTGTGTGATTGAGAAGAATATTGAATTGAGTTTAAAGAAGGAAATGGAGAAAATAAGAGAATAGAAATAAAGGAGACGTGAAATACGCAAACAGTGTAATAGGCGTGTAGTAAGAAATGACGATAGAATAAATGTTTACGTCTACATAGAATCCTCTTTGTTCATCGATGATGCTTCCCAGGTATATGAAGGATTCCACATCTCTCAGAGTTTCACCATCAACTGCAGCATTACTCTGAATGAAAAATCTATTGCATGATCATTGTAGACAATCTGAAAACGTTTCAATTGCTATGGTGAAAGCATCAATGAACAATCAACGTTAGGTAGAAATAACAAAAGGAAGAAACAGCCCAGTTCAATATGACAGTTATACCAACCAATAAAACGAGAACTCATGATCTCAAATATTAAGATTACTATAATATCTATAAAAACCCCTTCTGATAATAATCAACATACGCTCACTAGTGACTGGTTTCAAGAGATATTTCATGGAGTTCTAGTGAGAAGCAATGACCAGTGAAGTTCAACCGGATCTGTTGTGAGATAGTAATTCTGTGAAAACAATGGTGAATATGTCGCTGAATTTCTTGGATTAGTTAAAGTTAGACGTTAGGACTGTTGGATGCTCGCGCGTGAAACTGATGTGTCCTGAGTTCGAATCTCGCGAGGCAGGATCGTGGATGTCCACTGTTGAAGAGTCTTATGCTATGAAAAGACGGCCGTCCAGTATTCCCATGTTTTCTATGATGATCTAGATTCAATCCACTTATGATCTCAACTATGAAAATTATTATAATATCCACAAAACCTTTTCTGATATTAAAACGAGAACATGCTTTTTTCAACTGACTAGTTAGATTAAACGCACAGTATTAGCATCCAGAACTACAATACGAGTAACATTTATAAATGTATACTTGAATTCATAAGTCAATTATTTCTAGACTACCATGGAAAATATGGAATTACTGGATGGCTGTTTCGTCCTAATATAGAACTCCTCAGTTACTCACTGACGATAATGGTAGACGATGTGGTAATTTTGTTAATTGGATAAAGTTAGATATTTGTAATGTTCTACTATCGACTATGCATTTGTAGTGACCTACTTTTATCAAGAGAACGCGATTGGTTTAATGAAATTAATTATTATTATAAGCAATTGTACCAATGATTGTTTTACTGTGCTCGTTTGTTTAACTGTGCTAAAGATAGTCATATCGCTCATCCATTATTCTCCACTACTGTTTCGCGGTTTGTGACTCCGTTCGCACGTACTTTCTTCTGCCGATTCCGCTTGTACCTTTTCTTAACACGATCTCAGAATTCATTCGATACCACGAGATCACCAACGAATAAATTTGGTTACGTTCAACCTTCGCCTTCTGATTTATTTGGCGCGTGTTTCTTTGTAGTGGTGTTCATAGTCAATTGGTACTCGACACCACGCTACACATTTATTAACATGAAATAAAATTTACTACCTTTAGAAAAATTGTTATAAATAAACAACAGATAAACATCGAAGTAGTTCCACTTAAGTAATATACAATTTCTAAGAGTAAATCTTACTGAAAATTTTCTTACATATAATTCTCATTTTCCAATGTGCTTGATTAAAATCAATTTTTGCTGAAGTACCACGTGTAGAACCAGATTTTTGACCAGTGATACCAATTGTTTTGTTTCCAGTTGATTTTGTTGCTGATTTAATAGTTCTACTATCGGAACCTTCATCAGCTGAAGTATTTCGAGAAGTTGTATTATTTACTGAAAAAGTAAATCAATGAATGATATTGTATTATTGTTGTACTTTCTTATAATGAGGTGATGCTTAAGTGGTTAAACCACTTATATCACTATTAATGAGTTGAGATATACTTTCTAAATACTTGGTGAATCTACAATAGGAAACCAGAAATCAAATTTATCCTGAAAACTGGGTTTGAATCTCGCGAGAGGGATCGTCGATTGACAAGGTACTATGGAATACAGTTGTCATTAATATCACGATCAACATGCTCAACTCGAATGAATTGGAACATTCGTCCATCCTTACTTCATCTATTCCTTCATCATTTGCATCTTTACTCAAATACCTGCTTATCGTGATAATACTGATTGTGTCTCCCATTGTTTTGATTTTTGATCTGATGTTTGTGCATGATTTTTCTGATTGGTTGATAAATTGGATTGATTTCAATATGTTTGTTGATTGCTGATTGACTGAGTGCCAGGCTTCTAAAAATTCTCTGATGTTTTTGAGTTTCCTCTGTCTAAGATTTCCACATTTTTACAATCGAATGATTGTCCGCAGTTGTCCATGTGTATTGATATAAGTGAAGAGATATCATGCCGTTTGACTGCTAATTGATGTTCATGTAGGCGAAGGTAAAGTGGGCGTCCGCTTTGTCCGATGTAGTGTTTTTCGCAGTTGTCACAATTTATTTTGTAGATGATGTTTGATTTGTTTTCCTTTGTTACTCCATCTTTTGGCTTGCATAAGATATATTGTAGTGAATTTTTCGGTTTGTGTGCCACACCTATTCCGAATGTTTTCAGCATTCTCGTCGCGGTTTCTGATATTCAAGCATATTGAAATCAATCCAATTTATCAACCAATCAGAAAATCATGCACAAACATAAGAACAAAAATCAAAACAATGGGAGACACAACCAAAACATAGAAATAAACAACGACAAATTTAAGGTCAATAAGAACCAATCAACGTCGAGGTGCACAGAACAAGCTTTGAGACACATATGGAGAAATTCAAACACTTCACTTCTATCTGAAGTTTGTGCTGATGATGTCGTTCAGAAGAACGATGAAAGCTCCACGACCAAACCATCCAGCTCAGAGAACAAAACTCCACCAAAATATGTCGGTTCCTTTCCTGGTTCTCACCATTGACTTTCTGAATTGTTTAGTGCTGCAGATATGATTTATCTGGTTCCATGTAGTGTGATCTGGTGAGATACATGTAGCTTTGTGTATGTGTTTGTGAGAGAATATTGTACGGCCTATAACCACTTTACTGAATGCACATAAATTTGCAAATTTCTCACCACTCACGTTCCTTTCTCTCAGTCAATCCATGTCGTCCTATGGTATCTTCATATCCGGTGTTGTCCATTCCGACTTTGGCTTATATGTCTCTCATCATGATGGTCATATTCTTTTCGTGGGCACTTTTCCATGGTTGATTGCAGCCTGTCATGAAACTGATCTTTATCGTCGTCTCTACTATAATTGTTGGGTGAGGACAACTGTATCACATTCATTGTGATTACCTTCTTCTTTGTTTCCGATGATGATTTGATGTTTCAGGATCCATGATATTCCCATCCTATAGGCGTATAAAGTGGATCTTTGGACAGCGTCAGAGGAACTGCTCTTTAAAATAATTAACTACAGGATAGAATAAAATGATCGACAACACGTAATTTTATACTCATTCAGATCTTGGTTCATAAGCGATGTGCTTGTAGTGGTTTACGTTACACAATTTATTTCATTTAAATATTAACAGTGGGTTGACTGGTAAAATTAAAGTACTTGTAAAACACTAATAAGACTCAAATCTCAACTTTACAGACTAACAATCTGCTCAGTTTAAACTAGTTATCTGTAAACACCTTACCAAAGTATTTGGATAAGTTGTTTATGATGAACTGTTGTTACTTTTAAGCATACATCCAATTTTAATCTAATACATAACTTACCTCAGCATTCGACAACGAAGTTCTTCAACCCTTGGAATAAAATCTGTTGTGTTTGGTGAACCATGAGTCCATAGTCTTTCAGCTACAGCTGAACCTCGAGGCCTTTAATGATAAAATGCGGTTAATTCAGGTTTGCTGATAAAACTATTCTTTCATCAAACTTAAAAATAAAAAAAAGATTATGTTTTTCTCAGAGATCTCAAAAGTCTGGCTTCGGAATTTCGGAATGTACGTGAATGTAGTTTTCTCTGGTGTTATGAGCATACTTTCAAGTTGTTTTTTCGGCCTCAAATTTTTCCCAATTAATTTAGGTAGATATACGTAGCTGATAGGTGTCTGAATTAATTTATCATGTTCGACATAGATTGTATATTTGGTTCGGATTTGTCTAGCTCCGGTATCGAGAAAGTGAATGAGGTTCCTATTTTATATCAGTTGAGAAAAACTTTTAGAATTCATGTATTGACCATTCTAGGTTGGCCTGATAGGACGGAACTGTTGTGATCAACATTGAAAAAATAAGACATTAGGCCCAGTCACTGGTTTGTAAGCAAAGCCAGGACATGAGACGTATGTTCATAGGCATAAATTGAAGCACCGTATCAGCACAGAGAGATGAAATTAATAAGATGAATACACTAGTAGAAATAGTAGTATTAGTCATTGTGAAACAAATAAGATGTACAAAACCATTCGGGTAAGAAAGTGTTTACAAATAAATCTAAAGTAAGTAATCATTTTGTAACTAAGTAACTGTGAACTGGCAAAAAGTCAATACATCTCCATTATCATCCATTTTAAGTCACGCCGCCTAAGGTAATCATTCACTGATTAGGACAGTCATAATGGATCCAACTGTGTAATTTACGCTTAACAATATGGCTCAAATTAACAGTCAATTGCTTCATGGAATGATATCATATCTTGACTTGTGGGCCACTTCTGGGTCTCGATATAGGCTGCGGTTGGACGTACATAATACATATTTAGGTCATTACAGTCTCTAAATATTCATAATCTCATCAAGGGATCTACATTTGACTACTACCATGTGTTTAACTTCATCATCATTTGCTTGATTCCACTGTAAGTTTGCAATGCTGCGAACAAAGATATGATCAATTGTTGTACTTTTCACATCCATTATTTGTTTGTAATTCCCCGCCTCTTTGTATTCTTCACTATCTAATTATTTACCCACATCTTATTACGTAATGATGTCAATGTTTTGGTGTTGACTATTCCTAGTCTATTTACCCATGTTTATTTGACCTTCTATTTCCAACGATTAATTATTGATAAGAGTTTTGTTATTGTATTTTATTATTCTTACTATTATCAGTTCATCTGTCTTCCTCCTATCAACTTGTACTTTTACCTAGAGACTTATTCTATTTCATTGGGATTATTGACTCATATTGCCTTGATTGATTTAACATTTTCGTATAAATATTCATGTATATTAGAGTAAAGCCTGATGACAATCTAATTGAAAACAATATTGTTCGCTTATATGTGTTGTTCTAATTTTCACAATGGGAATCTTTAACATTATAAAATTGGCTGTCTTTTATCATAAACTGAGATTATTTGGATAATCATCGGAAACTAGATGGAATAGAATAGTCATTTAGTTTTAGTCTCGGACTAACCATCAGTGTTCAATCACTAACACAAAATTAATTAAATCAATAAAACTTTAGACATTGCAGCTAGCACGATGTGTTTAGATCACTAAAGTCACATCGAATAATCCAATTTTTCAACTTTGATCAGCTCACGAAGTGGCGCTACAACCATTCTGTATCATCAGGAATGATAAAGTATCACTTAATTAAACTGAATATCAATGAATAAGTATAAAAAATCATAAATGTGTGATTAATAGTGACTAATTCCATATAAATTTCTTGGAATTCTAGTTAAAAGATATAATTAACAAAGTCCAATAAATCACATATAAAAAGTTAATCTAAGCCGTTGACCTGAAAGATTGGTGCTCGATAGAAAATCTGAATATTCTTGATTCGAGCCCCTTTTGCTTAGAGTTGATTACCACAACTAAAGGTTTATAAATAGAGTCTAGATACTTGTGTTGTGTTTATCAATGTTCAATATTCCTTCAGTTGATATTACTCACTGGTAAGAACTAACTCCACTCTGAACAATCAACACAAATTCATTAGCTTAATTATGCAATATGTACTTATTTACTAACCATGATCGACTAAACAAATACGTGTCATCCACATACTCACCCCACATAGCTGCTTCACCTCCAATAACCAATTTCGCATCATCCTTACTATCTATAAAACAAAAATAAGTGTGAAGGAGAATCCATAATTCATATAAACAATTGTATTTTGATCTGAAACTAACAAATATTAAATATTTCTCGAAGGCGATTTAGGTGTATTCAGTAAATGATTACTATTGTTATCAGTACGTGGTTGTGAAGAGTGTTGAGTTTTGATTGAGATCAAGGATCGATTTGTGTTAGACCACCAATGAGAACCTCCAAATAACGGACAGTCAATTGGTCGTAGTATAGAACCGCCAAGCAACAGCGGTCTGGCGCGCGAATACTCAGTCTCAAGACCACTGAACCAGGATCAAACGATGTTAATGTCTAACGTCAATCAATCCGTGATATTGTACAACCATCTTCCATTTTATTCGGTGGGTAACTGCCTCATACCTGACATGGATTATCTCCACTGGGCACGGCTTCTCACTTAAAATTGACAATAACACCATTGGATGCCTTCTCAATAGTCCAGGGGTTAGATGTTCGCGCGCGAGACTGTAGATTCTGGATTCAAAATTTTAGTGAGGGATTGTGGTTGTACACTGCTGACGAGTCCCATACTAGAACGAGATGGCCGACCAGTGCTTCTAGGTTTTCAACTGTGATCTAACATAGATCGACTATTGTTATATTGTTTTGCACAGTAGTAAAGTTATAATTTAAATCACCCGGACTAGGTCAATCGGATAGGTTTAGTTTAGCATTAACAATATGGTTACAAACCTTGTAAACAGTAAGGTTATCTACAGTTCATTTTTAACTGCAACATAAAGCTTGAAAATCGAAATACCTGTGAAATAATTTCATAATTCCTTACTTCTAAATCACGTTTAATTATGGTCGATATTCTATACTTTGACTTATCGTTCTATAATGTCTGAATGAATAATTTACCTTGATAAAATGCTGTTATTCACAAGCAAATATGTTTTTCTAATAACTTTATCATTTTCTCACTGAATCATGCCACAAACTTTCAAATGTTGGTGAACAATTAACAACTCAGAGGGACTAAGCAATTGTTACTTAGTGGTATATGGTTCATCAGGAGTGGAGATATATGATCAGTCCAGAAATTGAACCTAAGGTCTTCAGGCATTTTATCTTTAGATCATGGAGTAACAGAAATGTGGCACACATTTAGAATTTTATTACAAAAGCTATTTTAGATGCACTTTATTGTGACTTGAAGTCCAAGGATCCACTTTTGTTACTACATGAGCCATAATTTATACATACTGATGTAATTACCTGCTCGCTTAAATGCCCGATCTTGCAAAGTCTATTTCATTACGATCCAGAGGATTCCAGGATCTTACCTAAATCAATAATTCTAGCATTTTATCAATCAATTGAGGTGGAAAAGTGGAATCAGTTCCCTATGAAAATTCTTGTAAATCTTTTCATTCATTAAAAAAACTTTGATCACTAAGAAAAAGCAACCAATGTGCAACAAACATGAGAAATGAACAAAGTGTGTAGATGACAATATTTTGAAAATACCTCCGAAATCTCTCGGATCAACACGATAGTGGTACCTCCAGTCATCACCATAAGAAATGTAATTCAGGTACCAAGCAGCTGAGAATAGTACTCTATAGCCTGCTTTAGTACCATTTTTCACCACAGATTCCCAATATAAGTCTTTCCACACATGAATTACTGCTGATTAGTCATCCTAAAATCAATAAAAGAAAAAAAATGAATGGGTTGACTGACGTATACAAATGCACATATAATTCTCAAAACTATGTCAAATCACATTTAAATCTGACGAAAACTTATCGAAGTGTTGGAAATTAAGACCTTCATTTTCTCTGATCGATAAACATCCCTTTAAACTTAAAACTACTTTTATTGCCTATAGCAAAAGCTTTGCATTAACCAAAAGATCAGTGAATAAGTAGAAGTATTTTAGTAACACCTTCAACAACTTTGGTTGCCAATCCTCACCTTTCGATGTGTATCGGATTCTCCTTTTTCATCGATGATGCTGTCCATATACGGGAAAGAATTCACATCTTTCAGAGCTTATTCATCAAGTATGGTTGGGTTGGTATTCTCTGTGTGGTATTTAAGAATGTCACTTTCCTCTTATGTATGTTGGAGCCTACTGTTGAAGAGGCTTTAGTTACACTAGTTTTCCTAATCTGCATTTGTTGGTGTGTATGGGATGGAAGTGCTAGGTCATCTGTGAAGTTTAAATCGTCTAATTGGCTCTGAGCTGTCCGTTGTATGCCGTGTTTTCCCTCAGATGTTAAGGTCTCCATAATCCAGTCACCCGCCAGCTGATAGGGGTAGGAGGAAAGTAGATAATCTTGTCTGACTCTGGTCCTTACTTGGAATGCATCTGTTAGCTGTCTTCCATGCACGACATTGCACTGTAGTTCATCGTATGAGTTCTGGATAATGTTATTAATTTTCTCAGGAACTCCATAATGCCGGAGAAGTTTTCATCATGTTTTCCTATGTACACTGTCAAACGCCTTTTCATAATCAATGAAGTTGATGTATAATGACGAGTTTCACTCAACTGATTGTTCGACGATGATCCATAGTGTCGCAATTTGGTCTATGCACGACTGATCCTTCCTTAATTCATCCTGTCGATCTCAAAGTTGGGCGTCTACTGGGTGTTTAATCCGGTTCAGCACCACTCTGTTAAAGACTTTCTCTGGTACTGACAGTAGTGTGATGCCTCTGTAGTTCTCACATTTCCTTAGATCTTCTTTTTCTTAGTATCTTGATGTGATCTCACTGACTGTGAAGCTGGGTGATACAGGTCGAATTCGTCAGGGAACATGTACTTCCTTAAGATTACAAGTACGCTTTCCTGACGAGTGCCAAATAACACGAAACCTAGGCCCAAGCTCTCTTGTTGGCTACCTCCAAGCATCATTTTAGGGAATCTATTGCCCTTCTTTGTTATTCAGAACAAAGAATCTTGATCAAATGTCATTGCAAAAGCGGAATATCTTCAGCTGATTGAAATATTATCTGAATTAAAGGACGTAATGTCATGTACCTTATTCAAGTGTGATTTGTACAGAAGGTAATTCGTTATCTAATAATCATTAGGTTAGATTTACATATTATATAAATCATAAAGTATGATGTACTCACTCGAAATCCATTTTCAAATATTTCTTGCCACACAATTGGAGTGATATTTCGTTCAGATGGTTTGACATCATTGATAATTTGAATTAAATTATTTATGTAGTAGCCTTCCAGACGGTGATAATCATCATCAAGTTTCACTTTTTTTCATCAATTCAATAATTGAAGGATTGGAACGCCTAGTATCAATAAAAATAATGCAAAATATATTACAATAATTTAAAACATTGAAGAGAATAAATGCTCCCTTTGTATATCAGTCTAGAGGTAGGGAATATTCCCATATCACATCTAGAATAGAGAAATATTCCAAGTCATAAGTTAAAAAGAGATATCATGAAAAAAAGTTATGTCAGTTGATTCTGAACATACCAGTATTACTTGTTCGCTGATATCTGAAAACGATTATTAGAAGAAACATCGATGTTTCGGTCAGAATTATGACAGAGTTTTAGTTTACTTATTAACAATTCTTCGAAATATGCATGGCATGTTCAATCAATTTGATGAAATGATTGAATCTAAAGTTTGTATGGTCACAGCGCTTCAGATAAAAGTATGTGTTTTTTTTTATATTTAAAGGTATGTTTAGGCAGAAGCTAAATTTGTAAATTGATTGGAGTTTAAAAAGTTGAAGCAAACGTTTTTCGTCTGGTCATGAGTGATGTGTTATAACTGTGACCGCTGATTAGAGAGCAGTGACTTATTGATCAGATCAATGACATGTAAAACCGTATGAGCAGTCTAGAATTCTAATTCGACATGCTTCCTGTCTAGCCCAGTCAGTTAAGTCCAGAACGGAAGTCTCAGCCTCTGAGATATGAATCACTGTATTTCAAGCATACTGAGTTTATATATCAAACAAACAGACCACAACGTACCAATAAAATATGAACAACATTTGTACAAGAATTAGCCAAATGTGTCTGTGAATGAGGGAGGTAGCGATTAACAGACAGGGAATAGTTCATGAATGGTAAACCGTGTAGTAATAGTTCATAGGTCAAATCAAAGCTTATAATAAGATCGACATGAATATGAACAGTTTAGTTCCATAACAATTATACGATAAAAATGTACGCATAGTATTAGTCCATAAATGGATCCCAAAAATTACCAATCATTATTTCTATCGGGATACAACATGATGATTTCTTGATTAAGTATTTGTACACGATAATCTTCTCTCGAGAATTTTCAGAATTCTGTTCTACGGTAGTGACATGGTTATCATTAGAATAGTAGTTTAAATAATTTCCACAAATCTATCTTAATGGTAGTAAGCACATGTATATGAGAGACTAGATTCATTAAGACTTTTCACAGTCTTTGTGAGAAGCCGGTGGATTTAAGTCTTTTATTACCGAAATATACATAGCCAATGACATTGATTGATGGTCACAATATACATAGCTGATAGACTGAAATTGGAGATAAGAGCCATTAGATTATTCAGCTCGGTTTAGATAACATCAGGTGTAAAGTTGACATTATTGATAACTTTAAAAGTGGTCTCTTCATTTTCACATAGTAATTTAGTAGTATCACAATTAAATCTAATTTACAAATATTTTATTACATTAAAAATATATCGACTAACATAGAACAGAGTGTTCGTATATTTAAATTCTATACGCTTATCAATACACTTGTTCAGTAAACTTAAAAAACCACATCCGCTGTAAATTTATCAGGGAATATCTAATTGAACTACCGTTATGTGATACTTTGTCACATTCAACGTTGGTTGTTCCAACATGTAACATTGAGGAGCAAGTATAATACGTATTCTAATTATGAATGCGTTCATTATAATTATCACGAATTTTATATTTTAAGGCTTACCAGCAATTATATTCAACTTCATCCCCACCTAAATGAAACCAGTTATCAGGAAATACACTAAACAATTCTTTGTATAATTGTGACACAAAGTTATAAGAGATATTATTGATTGGATTGATTGGACCCAAAGTACCATCCGGTTCACCCTTAATGTAACATTTGGTTAAAATCTCTGGATACCCTTTCCCCCAAGAATTTGCATGACCTATGGTTAGTAAAATGTTTAAAGAATATTATCAGTAATCTTCATCTTTCAGTTTAATCACTAAAAGTTTTATAATTCGGGGATAATTAAAGCATAAAAATTAATTGTCTAAATATGCTCATAATGTTAAAACAAACGATAAGTAAAGAAAGAAATTCGTTCATATTGAGTTTGGGAATTACAAATTCAAATGAGTGATCTTAAGCTAAATATAAAGCATAATTATCCTTTGAAACTATGGTATATGAACTAAGGATTGTTAGCAAAATGAAATTGGTAACCTTAATAAGTTTCATCACAAACTAAGCATAATTGGATAATCATCATTCATAGACCCATCATGAATCGAACACAGGATCTTCCTTATGAATACTTGTGAATTGGTGGTAATTTCAAGATAATCTATTAAGGATGCACGTGTTCTAAAAGAGACTGATCGATTGCAGTTATTTTTATTAATGACAGAAAGTTTCAAAAGTTGTAGAAATGAATTAAGATAAATCTAAATTAGAGAGAGGTTAAATGTACATTTGTCAAATTAAGTTATTTTACAACTCTGCCTGTAGCGCTTCTGGAGTAACTGCCGGTCCCAAGTTCGGGTAAAGGAAGAGGGTTGGGTATAATGCTGACAACCCAATCCCGTAGAAAAAATCTGGCTAAAAAAATGCCAACCAAATTAAACAAATATGGTTGTTTAATACTGAGGATGAGTATTGACTTCTAATGCCTGAAGTTGGCTACAGTGAGAGAAGAGGCTGAGTATTTTTCTTTTATACACAAAGTTCAGGGGTTTGGATGAACATAAGAATAAGTAAGTTGTATTAGTTTATCATCTTTCAATCTTGGTTTCACTATCGGACACGTAAAGAGCAGTAGTTTTAATTCATTTACTTGAATTTCAGCAACTTGTGTACAGTAAACCAAAAAAGAGCTTTGACTAGAATACTATTAGTTGGTTACGGAAATTAATATATGCAGATTGAATGACAAGTGAACTCAATTTAATCTCTCTATCCATTTCCGAAGTTGTTATTACGTAATGCCTAGCTTTATTTCTCATTTCCCAGAAATATCTATCTATGTATTTAAAAATTCTTTTTTCAGGAACTTTCACATTGGTTAATGCATAAATATACAACTATTTGGACATTTTATAATTCTTCAATATTTACTGCGTCAGTTAGCAGTCAAATGCCATGATATCTCCTCAGTTATATCAATACACGTGGACAACTGCGGACACTCATTCGTTTGGTAAAATGTGGAAATCTTAGACAGAGGAAACTCAAAAACACCACAGAATTTTTAAAAGCCTGGCACTCAGGTCAATCAGCATTCAACAAACATATTGAAATCGATCCAATTTATCAACCAATCAGGAAAATTATGCACAAATATAGGAACAAGAATCAAACCAATGGGAGACAATGCCAAAACAAAGCAGTAAACAATGATAAATTTAAGGTCGACAAGAACCTATCAACATCGAGGTGTACAGAACAAGCTGTGAAATGCATATGGAGAAATTCGAACACTTCACTTCTATCTGAAGTTTGTGCTGATGATGTCGTTCAGAAGAATGATGAAATCTCCATTAACAAACCATCCAGCTCAGAGAACAAAACTCCATCAAATACATTGACTGCCTTTTTACCAATCCCCGTTATTGTATTGTAAGGCATGTGCACTGGTTTTAAAAGATTATTACTAATACTTCTATGCTGTAAAGAAACTGAAGAGAATCCAACAAATTATTGAACCCATGTTATTCTGTTGTAGTTATCGTTCTTTTTTTATTTCAAACTAAAAGGGTTTATGTACTGTATCTTACAAGCAACTTTCCTATTCGGGTTCCATTTTAGTGATCCATATACTCCCTTCATAAGTAGAGCTTCTAGAAAGGATATTTTGGCTTCAATACCTTTCTCATATATGTACTTAATAACCGGATAAAATTTATCAAACGTCTGGAGACTCTTACTAACCACTGTTTTTTATTTTTATTTTGGAAAAGTGAATCAATCAAATGCTAACAGTAAAATCAGAACTGCCCTAGTTAATAATCTTGATGTTTTGTTTTAGACCCAGTGACACACCTGTTGTTACAGCATACATCGTTCCACGCGAAATTCAAACTTATGTTCCATTTTAGTAATACAACTTTTAGCACATATACTAAGATAGAAATATGTATTACCGTTTCCCTAGTTTGGTTGTATACATAGGTTACCTATATACGTTACTGTAAAGTGCATACAATCACATAGCTTAACTATTCATCTTTGTTTATAGTTGGAATGAAAATGAATCCCTTGTAAATACAGCCCATAATGATTGTTTGGTTTGTCAAAATATAAATAAGTGGTGATGAGGTCAATCCTCACCATACATTCAATACAAGTATGTTATAATAATCTATTGAGTTACAATTTATTTATTTACATCCATAACTAAACCACCTTGGAAACAATCAAATCAAAACAATCAATCAATGTGATTACATAATAACGTAACATTTTTTGAAATTTGCTTTATTCAAATCTATGAACTGTGAATAAAATTTAGTTTATTGTTTACAGGTTAAGATCGGTTGAAATGAAGAACAATTATATACGATAATAAAATCGATTTATTATCGGTATTAATATAAATTATAATCAATTAAAATGATGATGATGATTCTTAGTGATGAAAGTTTTAAACTATTACCATAATATCTCTAGATCGAAGAGTATTTATAGTTGATTGAAGTTTCACATTTATTTCACGGGAAATTGTGGACACTATGTTTATTGTATAACAATCAGCTGCTTCATAATTGATTGATCATTGGGTGGTGATCAATGTCATGCGTGTCTAGTCCTTATTAGTTCAGATCGAATGCTATCGATCATATTGCAATGTGGCTACCAGTCTACGTGATTCGACACTGCGGCACTATGTATTGTGATTTAGATGGTGGTTGGAGGTAGTCAACAGGAAACCCTGGACCCGGGTTTCGTGCTACTTGGCACTCGTCAGCAAGGTGTACCTGTAATCTTGAGGGAACTGGTGCTCCCTGGCGGATTCGATCTCGTGTCACCCAGCTTCACAGTCAGAGACGTTACCACTGAGCTATCCGAGCCGTGACTAACCTCCTGTAGGACTGAGATGTAATTACAATTGATTGATCACTGGGTGGTGATCAATGTCTTGCTTGTCTAGTCCATATTAGTGCAGATCGAATGCTATCTATCATGTTGCAATGTGGCCACCAGTCTAGCTGATTCGGCATAGAGTGCACTATACAACTTGGTCGACAAGATTTGATCTGCACTAAAATCCACCTGACATAAATGACATTGATCACTACTCAGTGACCAATCAATTGTAAATACATTTCAGTCATACAGGAGGTCAGTCGAAGCCCGGATAGCTTATTGGTAGCGTCTCTAACTGTGAAACTGGGTGTTATGGGATTGAATCTACCAAGGAACATCAGTCTACTCAAGATTACAGGTACACTTTGCTGACAAGTGCCAAGTAGCACGAAACCTAGATCAAAGGTTTCCTGTTGACTAATTCCCAAGCTTTTTTTAAAGCTTTAACTTCTAACATTTTATTATCCATATCCATCCATAACAACGTAGAAACATTCTATAAACATAAAAGCAGGTAAATCAGTAACATTCTATCCTTTCACACAATTTCTATTCTTCAGAATTAATTATAAATAGTATCACTTAATTACTTACTTTTTTACGCCTGTTACTGCTCGTGGCGGAGCATAGGCCACCCACAAGCACTCTCCATCTAAACCTGTCTTGGACAATCCTTTCCAGTTCTTTCGAGTTATTATTCATAACTGCTTCTATTTCCCGACATAATGTGTTCTTTGACCTTCCTCTTTTCCGCTTCCCTTTAGAACTCCAAGGTAGAGCTTGCCTCGTGATGCAGTTTGGTGACTCCCTTAATGTATGTCCTATCCACATCCAATGTATTTCCATGATTTCTTCTTCATCTGCAATCTGGTTTGTTCTCTCACACAATAGACTGTTGCTGATGGCATCCGGTCAATGGATGTTGAGAATCTTGCATAGACAATTATTTAGAAATACTTGTATGTTTTTGTTGATGGTTGTAGTAGTTCTCGAAGTTTTTAGCTCCGTATAGTAGAACTGTGTTGACGTTCGTATTGAAGATTGTGACTTTTGTATTATTATTATTATTAGTATTATTATTATTATTATTATTATTATTATTATTATTCACAAACATCTTATGGGTACATAAGTGTTGTGAAGAAACCATTTCGGGTTTCTTCAGATGATGCAATAATACACCATTTTCAATAATGTCAGCGTTCTACTTGGCATATTAAAGAAAAAAAAATTTAGAATAATAATAGTAGAATATTAATAATAATAAATCGGGCCTGTGTAATTGAGATGAATATTGAATTGAGTTTTGAAGAAGGAAATGGAGAAAATAAGAGAATAGAAATAAAGGAGACGTGAAATACGCAAACAGTGTAATAGGCGTGTTTATAAACACAGAACATGAATAAACCACTATGTGTGTATCGTCTAATTAGTAACAAAAAATAATTTATCATTGTAGTAAGATATGACGATAGAATGAATGTTTGTGCAGTTATTGTTTAGATTGATGCTATGAAAGTCACAATCAAGTGAAAAGGATAATAATATTTTGAATTCTATATGTTTTTCAACAGCAGGAATGCGGACCTTGCTTTGCCGATCCTCATATTTACGTCTACATAGAATCCTCTTTGTTCATCGATGATGCTTCCCAGGTATATGAGGGATTCCACATCTCTCAGAGTTTCACCATCAACCGCAGCATTACGTTGATTAAAAAATCTATTGCACGATCCTTGTAGACAATCTGAAAACGTTTCAATTGCTATGGTGAAAGCAACAATGAGCAATCAACGTTAGGTACAAATAACAAAAGGAAGAAACAGCCCAGTACAATATGACTATTATACCAAACAATAAAACGAGAACTCATGATCTCAAATATTAAGATTACTATAATATCTATAAAAACCCCTTCTGATAATAATCAACATACGCTCACTAGTGACTGGTTTCAAGAGATATTTCATGGAGTTCTAGTGAGAAGCAATGACCAGAGAAGTTCAACCGGGTCTGTTATGAGATAGTAATTCAGCGAAAACAATGATGAATATGTCGCTGAATTTCTTGGATTAGTTGAAGTTAGACATTAAGACTGTTGGGTGCTCGCGCGCGAAACTGATGTGTCCTGAGTCCGAATCTCGCGAGGCAGGATCGTGGATGTCCACTGTTGAAGAGTCTTATGCTATGAAAAGACGGCCGTCCAGTATTCCCATGTTTTCTATGATGATCTAGATTCAATCCACTTATGATCTCAACTATGAAAATTATTATGATATCCACAAAACCTTTTCTGATATTAAAACGAGAACATGCTTTTTTCAACTGATTAGTTAGATTAAGCACACAGTATTAGCATCCCGAACTACAATACGATTAACATTTATAAATGTATACTTGAATTCATTAGTCAATTATTTCTAGACTACCATGAAAAATATGGAATTACTGGACGGCTGTTTCGTCCCAATATAGAACTCCTCAGTTACTCACTGACGATAATGGTAGACGATGAGGTAGTTTCGTTAATTGGTTAAAGTAAGATATTTGTAATGTTCTACTATCGACTATGCATATGTAGTGACCTAATTTTATCAAGAGAACGCGATTGTTTTAATGAAAACAATTATTATTATAAGCAATTTTACCAATGATTGTTTTACTGTGCTCGTTTGTTTAACTGTGCTAAAGATAGCCATATCGCTCATCCATTGTTCTACATTATTGTTTCGCGGTTCGTGACTCCGTTCGCACGTACTTTCTTCTGCCGATTCCGCTTGTACCTTTTCTTAGCACGATCTCAAAATTCATTCGATACCACGAGATCACCAACGAATAAATTTGGTTACGTTCAACCTTCGCCTTCTGATTTATTTGACGCGTGTTTCTTTGTAGTGGTGTTCATAGTCAATTGGGACTTGACACCACGCTACACATTTATTAACATGAAATAAAATTGACTATCTTTAGAAAAAAATTGTTATAAATAAACAACAGATAAACATCAAAGTAGTTCCACTTAAGTAATATACAATTTCTAAGAGTAAATCTTACTGAAAGATTTTATACATATAATTCTCATATTCCAATGTGCTTGATTAAAATCAATTTTTACTGAAGTACCACGTGTAGAACCAGATTTTTGACCAGTGATACCAATTATTTTGTTTCCAGTTGATTTTGTTGCTGATTTAATAGTTCTACTATCGGAACCTTCATCAGCTGAAGTATTTCGAGAAGTTGTATTATTTACTGAAAAAGTAAATCAATGAATGATATTGTATTATTGTTGTACTTTCTTATAATGAGGTGATGCTTAATTGGTTAAACCACTTATATCACTATTAATGAGTTGCGATATACTTTCTAAATACTTGGTGAGTCTACAATATGAAACCGGAAACCAAATTTTTCCTGAAAACTAAAGGCCTTGTGTTCGAATCTCGCGTGAGGGATCGTGGATGCGCACTGCTAAGGAGTCCCACAACAAGACGAAACGATCGTCCAATGCATTCAGGCTTTCAATGATGGTCTAACGTCAGTCGGTTCATGATCTCAATCAAAACTTAACAATCTCCACAAACTTGCACCTATACACTCCATACTAGGGAATACAGTTGTCAGTAGTATCACGATCGACATGCTCAACTCGAATGAATTAATACATTCGTCCATCCTTACTTCATTTATTCCTTTATCATTTGCATCTTTACTCAATTACCTGCTTATCTAGCAACTAGCCTACAAAATAGTACACACTGATTATACTGTAGTGGCTGTGCTTCGTTAATTAATCACCATCGAACCGTTATCGTATAATCTTCAACGATGTTTGAAATCAGAAGGCAAAAAGGAGCAGCTACCACAGTTTTATTTAGTAGATAATTCGGACCAGACAGCAGATGGGCAAAATGAATGAGCAAGCGAACAACGATTTTAGCAGTAGCAAGTAGCTGTAGTTGTTGTGAATGCGTG